ACCTTTATCATTGATTTCATCTCAGCACATATCCCTTTCATATTTTTAAAAATGAAGTAGTTCTGGGCTGTATTATTTCATAATCATGTATAAGAACATGACACTGTTCAATAAGACACTTCGTCTCAATTCTTTTCCATTAAGTCTTGTATTAAATTATTATTGTTGACAGTAGAGTTTGCCCTTGAATTGAAATGTGCACTGTTTTTGAAGTGAATTGTCTGCTTCTTCCAGGATAAAACGTCTTTCAAACATAACCAAAACACATTGATGGATCAATAGTTTTTATGCTTTTCAGGTTTCAAAATAAATTTTCAAATTCCTACCCCAATTCTTCCCAAAGATAGCCCTTTCTTTGGGTTTAGATTAAGTTCACAAGCCAGTTTCCAAATTATTAATTTTCGAAAGATGAATCCCCTGACCTTGCTTATTTATTTATTTTCTTTTACGGGTGTTAAGTGGATCATTGACAAACAAGCAAATATCATAACTGGAATGGATCTTTCTTCCAGCCCCACTTAATCAATTTAAAAAATGTTTGGGCTCAATGAAAGTGGTGTTCAGTTACAATCCAAAATACTGAAAAATTCAAAAAGAGGGAGAGAACAAAAAAGAACAAGAACAGAAAATGAGAACAAAAGTTAAACATAAAAGGAAATAACCAAAAAAGGAAGAGAGGGGCAACTAATGATTTACAAAAAAACATGGGAAAGAGAGAGACAGAGAATGAGAAAGTAAGCACAAGGTTTTCTAACCAAAATTATTGACTATAAAATGGTCTAATTGGGTAGACAATGTCCAGTTGCCACATTTTAACCAGGATAAAACGTCTTTCAAACATAACCAAAACACATTGATGGATCAATAGTTTTTATGCTTTTCAGGTTTCAAAATAAATTTCCAAATTCCTACCCCAATTCTTCCCAAACTAACACTATTAAATAGTGGGTTGTGAGGGAGTTGCAAACGTCTGATGACCTTTGGGCTTTCGATTGAAGACACTAATTGATAAAGTTTTTGGTAAACAAACACTTATTACCCACTACGGTCTTATTCAGCCATGGCTGATTAAGAGGTTGTAAACATGCATGCATCACCGGGAAGTGACATATTTTAAACCCTGCATAATTGTCCCTTACAAAGCTTAAAGCCGTCCATGACTTATTTAATTAGAGCCAGCCCCTCGAATGCTTAATTCTTCGCACACCAGTGAAGGAAATGTAGTAAATCCCCAAGGTGGTGTTGGCGGCTCCATTACCATGACTCACTCTACGTGCAAAAGAGAGGAAACAAAATCTTTCATTCAGCTGAAATACTTCTGTCAGTCAAAAAAAAAACACATCATTGAACAAGAGAAAGGGATTAAGGGAGGACGCTCAAGAAAAACGAGTCAATTAATGACAAAACGCCCAATGATAAATGAGGGTAATATGCTTCATTTGATTATCACGTAATATACTTAATTATAGCACTTCCTGCCAATTAATTAAGTTGCCTATGTCATCAGCCATTTGATATCCAGTCTCTCTTCCCTTGAGATGAGAAGTCTCATCTCCTGAAGGATTATAGGCACAAAGGCAACAATATTTTACACTTAGCTTTTTTAAACAGCTCAGGCTTTTGGCTGACAATTTATTTTGAGATTTTTAAAGAATGTAAGTTTTCGTTGAAGTAACTTCTTGTTGCCATTTTCATTCATTCACCCCTAGTAGAAAGGAAATCCCTCTCTAATTCACCCACTACCTTCTTACCAGCTGTCTCTGACCATCCCCAAATCTGCTTTAATGTTCCATGTACTATCCTCAAGACATGCAGGTTGCTAAGTAGCTCAACCCTAAGCCTGCTAGGATGCACAAATTTGACAGACCAGTGCAATTCATCTGCAGATTTTCCTTGTTTATCTGCAAGTGGATTGTGTTGGGATCTAACCATCAATCAGTCATTTGAATAATTAGTAAGAATGGAAACAAAAGGAGTAGGCCATTTGGCCCCTTGTGCTTCCTCTGTCATTCAACTCAATCATGGTTAATCTTGGGCCTTGATGCCATTTTCCCCCACCAGCCCTATAACCCTGAAAGTCTTCAATATCTAGGCTATGAGAATCATTGGGATTAAGAAGGAGCTTTCTGCAGTCGATGGGGTGCTATGCATGTTGAAGTAGCATGGATGGGGCATGGGCAGTGCATGGGAGATGAGGGTGGGAGGGCTATATTTTGTTTTATTGTAATTTTAACAGCTACCATAAAGTTCATTGAGGGTAGTCCTTCCCACATGCTGCATCCACACCAACCCCTGTACCTGCTTTCAACTTCATTTTCCTTTTTTTGGCGGGTGATAGAGTTTGGGCTCAGATCCAATTAACATCCACACCACCTTCTCTCTTTTCTCCGCTACACACCGCCAACTCTGATCTAAAAGTTGGAACCATCTGGGTCTTTAGTTAGTTCTGAATTGGGTTAGCAGAGCCAGGAATTTGCCTGTTTCTGCACTCTCGAAACAGAAGTGAAAATCCAAGCCTATGTTTCAAAACTACTTCACTGGGTGTAATTTGGGAAGGAGAAAAGTTTGGTAAAAATGCAAATATTTTGTTCTTTTCAATTTTAAATCATAATACTTTTTAAAGTTCCACCACTGACTATATGCCAGACCACTCTCAAGTGAGGGTCTTGATGGTCCTGACTGGTATCACACTTGTAGTCAACTATAATAGGGTGACATGGTGGCTCAGTGGTTAGCACGGCAGCCGCAGTGCCAAAGTCCCAGGTTCGATTCCACCTTCGGGTAACTGTCTGTGTGGAGTTTGCACATTCTCCGTGTGTCTGCTTGGGTTTCCTCCAAGTACTCCGGTTTCTTTCTACAATCCAAAGATGTGCAGTCTACATGGATTGGCCATGCTAAGTTGCCCATAGTATTCAGGGATAGGTCTGGATGGGATGCTCCAAGGGTCAGTGTGGACTTGTTGGGTGGAAGGACCTGTTTCCACACTGTTGGGATTCTATGATAATGGTAGGAAAACTTACAACCCTCTAGTTTTCAAAACTAACATTCCATTTGCTCTGATTTTTTTTTGCACCTGACTACCTGTGCAACATTTTAGTAACCTGTAACCCCAAACTCTCTGGGAAAGCCATCATTCCCAGCTTTTCACCACATTACCGTAAGTTCTTGGAAGTATCAAGCATCTCAACTGGGTGGTATGAACAAAATGTGCAATAATAATTATAGGCAGGCTCCATGAGCCTGCCCAGTTACTATGGACTGCTTAAGGACTTTTTTTCCCTCAGCCAAAAAATTGTACGGCCAGCGAGATGGGATACGAAACTGGTAGGAAAATGATCCACAGAGTTTCAGTTTTTTACTGTTCATTAACTTACCCCACTTAATGTAACCTTATAGATGCAGTGTAAAAGCACATTGGGAAAAATGGCACGAATGGATAAAACACTGCAACAAAAGATATTAAACTAACAGTGTTAATCACAACTGTTCCACTGTGGATACAGAATACATTAGATACTCTATAGGCTCTGTATGGACACTTGGTGCTGTTTGAGGAGATCTAACCATCATGAAGAAAATAAAGACAAACAAGTTTTTATGATAATCAAGTTCCTTCAATGTCAGATTCTACATGCATGCTGGCAATGCCAGCTCTACCTCATCGCCACCTGTCTCATCTGCTCAGCCCCTCTGATTTGCACACTGCTTGTCCATCAAACAGGGTGAAGAAAGATTTAGCAGAATGTTACTGGGACTGAAGGGTTTGAGTTATAAGGAGAGGCTAGATAGGCTGGGACATTTTAACTGGAGCATAGGAGATTGAGGGGTGACCTTATAGAGGTTTATAAAATCATGGGGGGCATAGATAAGGTGAATAGCAGAGGTCTTTTCCCTAGGGTTGGGGAGTTCAAAACTAGATGGCATAATTTTAAGGTGAGAGGAAAAAGATTTAAAAGGGACCTGAGGGGGTAACTTTTTCACATAGAGCATGGCGCATGTGTGGAATGAACTGCCAGAGGGACTGGTAGAGGCAGGTACAGTTACAACATTTAAAAGACATTTGGACAGGTACATGAATAGGAAATACTTAGAGGGATATGGGCCAAATGCAGGCAAATGGGACCAGTTTTATTTGGTCAGCATGGACAAGTTGGACTGAAAGGACTGTTTTGGTGTAGTATGACTCTATGGCTCTGCACAGTTTCAAACTTTTTATTCTTTCCATTGCCTAGGGCTGCCTGTTTTCACCTCTGTAATATTATCCAGATAATTCAAAACTTCAGCTCATCTTCTGATCATTCATGCCTTTGCTAATCTACTCTTTCAAAGCTCTGCTGGTCAGCCTCCCACCCTCTGCAAACTTGAACTCATCTGACATTTGGAGGTTGAAACCTTAACTTGCACAGTTCTGTTCACCCATCACCCCTTTCTCACTAACTTACTTTGGCTTCTGACTCAGCAACCTGTCACTTTTAGAATTCTCATGTACGTATTCAAGTTCTGCCATGACCTCATAAATCCTACCACTAATACCTCCTCCAGTCCTTCTCCCCAACCTGTCAGACAGACAATATATCATATTAATATTAAAATTATTGGATTAAAACTAAAAGGGGTTACAATGGATTTGGCCAGTTGTTCAGCTGGCTGTGAGGTTGTGCCCAAATAGCTTACAATTTAGCTTCAAAACATTGATAGATTTCATTGCTTTAAAAAGAAAATCATGTTCCTCTGAAGTATTTTAGGGTATTCAACTAGTGAGGATGCTATACAAATGCAACAAGTGTTGAAAACTCTCAGCCGGTCGGATGATAGCTTAAGATGGTTTTAAGTGATAGCCTTCATCAAGACATGAGTTTTCACGGACTAGCCCACACAAAACAATATCAAGATCCTAACTAATCGGCTAAATATTTATCGTCCACTATTTTTTAAATTTTGATTTCCAGCAACTGTAAATTAACTTCATAAGTAGTAACTATAATTCGTTCTTCACTCACCCTCCAGGGGGCACTGGTCATCAAATAATTGTCCTTTCAGTTCTCCATGTAATACCTCCTGCAGGAGAGACAGAAAAGAAACACATTACAGACAAGGAACAGATGTGTTTGAATAGGAAGGAATCTCAGTCGCTGAATCATTAACACAAAGGATAAGCGCTTCCCTGCAGAGAGGACCTCGAATAAAAGCAGCAACAGATCCCAGTAACAGATCCCAGTAACCCACTTTGTTGTGTAAAAATCAAAATGCCTCAAAACACTCCCCCCGCCCCCCTACTGCCAAGTGAAGAGCAGTTGTTTGAAAGAACTCACTTAACTGCTACTCTTATTTTGAAGAAAGAATGGTCTACAAACACAGGTGGGGTACTTTACCGGCAGTTTGAGGGCACCGAATCTTTGCAAAGCATTGTACATATTCAGCTCATTACACCCATGCTGTACTTCCAAGAATTTATCCCCTTACTTCCCCTGATCTCTTCCTATACCCTAATTATATTTCTGTGTTTCTCCAGTCCGCATTTACAAACTGTTCTGACTCCCAAAAGATTTTGTGAGGCCATGAAGTGCTTGACCAAGTCGCCATGCAAGAAAATTCTCTGAACTTCATTCTGCATTTGGAAATGAAATGTAATTAATTAATTTTCTCTAACTACCATCTCACTCTCCAGTGGAATATTTCTTACACCACATTTTAGCCTTCAAAAGTCTCCCACGATTTCGCACACCTCTATCCTGATTGCCTCATAACCTTTTGTGTTCTATCAGATGGAGTGCCAATGTCTTCAGTGTCTCCCTATAGCTACAGCCTCTCACTTTTTATAAGCGTGAGCTGTGCTCGCTCCACAACCGCAAGTTGCTCAAGGCAACCTTGTCTGGACATCATGTTCAAAGTCAGTCTTAACTGATGATTTATACATTACATTTATCATTATCATTTTGAATTTGTACTTTATGATCCTATTCACAAATCTGTTCTAAAAATAGAAGTTTATCAATGGGCCATTTGAAACCCATTGACTGCCTTATTCTCTATTCAGATTGTGGCCTCGTGTGCATTCCTGACTTGCGTAGCCCCATCACTGGGTGACCACACCTTCACCTGTCTCCATTTAAGACACAAAAATATGGGGAAGTTACAGACAGAACTTGGAACAGATAAGAGTACAGCACAGGAACAGCCCCTCAGCTCACCATGTCAGTGCCAATCATGATGCCATTCTAAGTGAATCCCATCTGCCTGCACACAGTCCATTTTCCTCTACTCTCTGCCTGCTCATATGTCATTCTAAATGCCTCTTAAATGTTGCTATCGTATCTGCTTCCACCACCTCACCGGCAATGCATTCCAGGCATGGATCACGTGCTGTGTAAAAAAGCTTGCCTCGGCCATCTCCTTTAAATTTTCCCTCTCTCATCTTAAACATATGCCCCCTAATATTTGACATTTCCACCCTGGGAAAAAGACTCTAACTATCCACATTCTATTCATGCCTCCCATAACTTCTATTGGGTTGCTGCTCAGCTTCCAAAACTCTAGCAAAAATAATCAAAGATTGTCCAACTTCTCCTTGTAGCTAACACACTCCAATCCAGGCAACACCCTGGTAAACCTCTTCTGTACCTTCTCCAAAGCCTCTACAGCTTTCCTATAATGTGACAATCAGAACTGCATACAATACTCCAATTGTAGCCCAACCAAAGTTCTGTACAACTGCAACATGAATTTCCAAATGTTATGTTCAATGCCCCAATCGATGAAGGCAAGCATGCTATATGCCTTCTTTATCCACTTGTGTTGCTGCTTTCAAAGAGCTACAGACTTGGACCTCGAGATCCCTTTCTACATCAATGTTGCTATGGGTCCTGCCATTTACTGTATACTTTCCTGTTGCATTTGACTTCCCAAATGGAATCACCTTACAATTATCTGGATTAAATTCCATCTGCCACTTCTCTGCCCAACATTCCAACTGATCTATATCCTTTGACAACCTTCCTCACCATCCACAACTCCATCAACTTTTGTGTCATCTGCAAATTTACTAATCAGACCACCCACATTTTCATCCAAAACATTTCTATATGTTACCAACAGCAGTGGTCCTAGCATTGATCCTTACGGAACACCACTGGTCACAGACCTCCAGTCAGAGAAACGCCCCTCCACAACTACCCTCTGACTTCCATGACCAAGCCAATTTTGTATCCAGCTTATCAACCCACCATGGATCTCATGTGACTTAAACTTCTGAACTATTCTACCATGAAGTAGCTTGTCAAATGCTTTAGTAAAGTCCATGTAGACACCATCCGCTGCTCTACTGTTAATCATCTTTGTCACTTCCTCAATATCGGGGAAGTCAAAATCACCCACGACAACAACCCCGTTGTTTTTACATCTTTCCTTGATCTTTCCATAATTTACCTACATATCTGTCCCTCTATCTCCTGTTGGTTATTGGGAAGCTTAGTGTATAACCACATTATAGTGATTATACTTTTCTTATTTCCGAGTTCTACCCATATAGCTTCGCTGGATGAGCCTTACATGATATCATCTCTTAGTGCAACTGTGACATTCTCCTTAATCAGTAATCCAGCTCCCCAACCCCTTTTACATTGCTCGCTATCTCACAAAAAACATCTAAACCCTGGGACATTGAGCTGTCAGTCCTGTCCTTCTCTCAACCAAGTTCCTATAACGGGCGCAACAACGTAGTTCCATGTACTAATTCAGGTTCTAGGCACATCTCCTTTACCTGTTATACTGCTTGCAGTAAAATAAATACGCTTCAGACCACCAGTTCTGCCATGTTCATTAACCTGGCCCTGCTTGTTCTTCCTGTTAGACTTATTTGATGTAACTTCTACCTTCTCCTCAATCACCCCCAGTGCTGATCTACTGCGCCGGTTCCCCCCTTCCACCCCTTTGACTTGCCTCCGCCACCTGCCACACTAGTTTAAGCCCTCCTGAGTAGCACCAGCGCACCTCCTTGTGGCTGGTGCCAGAATCGACATCCAGAATATACAGCAGAAATACAGAAGGAGAAAAACACTCTACTGATGGGCAAGAGGGATTTCTCAGAAATCATCAGGTCAACTTTTTAAGAAAATTCTTCATTAAAATGACACAAACTTTGCAGCAGGCATTTGGCCCAAGTGATAAATAGCTGGTATGCCCCACACACATCTATCACATCAGCACATTCACCTATTTGTTGCTCTCTTGTGCACTTGCAAGCTTCCCCTTAAAAATGCATCTGTAAATTAGTGACAGAAACAGAACAAACATTTGTACCTGCTCAACTCCACTTTTATATTTGAAATAACTCCCAAGTCAACGACAGGCTAAAACTCTGATCCTCTCCGTGCATTAGGATCTGCACCTGTAACACATTCACTCAATCGATTATTCTGGCCTGTGGAGTTAAAACTACCCAGTGAAATCTGAGAAACCCATAATCTCTCGTTCTGACCTCTAATGGGGCTCGCTGTTTCTGACAAGTGACAGTGACTTGTTTCAGTTAAACCTCAGCAAATAACCAGAAGATTTTTCTCCCTTGCCCTTGTCTTTCCAAAACACTTTTCTTGGGCACCTTCTCTTCTGCTAACACCATTGTGAATCATCTGCAGTATGCATGCAAGCCTTTGAAGTCTCCCAGGCAGAGGGAGGTGTACAAACAATTCCCAAATCATTTGGGAAGCAGCCGTCATTGATCAGGGATTCTAGCAAGGGATGTATCAGGATTGAAGTACACACACATAGCAAAACCAGTTCCTCCTTGTTTCGCTCACTATGAACAAAAGAGGACTGGCAAAATGACAAGAGTTTGGGCTGGGAGAGAAGGCTTTGTTGCAGGCAAATAGCCAAATCTCTTCTTTGTCACCACAAACCCATCATATTACCAAGGCTCGTGCGAGATAAAGGACAAGGCTATGAAAATAAATCAAGATGGTTTCGGCATTAGTTCAGAGAAACAAAGAAAAGACGAGCTCCAATTTATTCTGTTTGATAACTGGACTCAGTGAGAGACTGGCAGGTTTACTTAATTAAGAAGTGTCAGGAATACTTTTTATAAATCTACAGTTGAGACTTGATAAGTTTAGGTCTGAACACATGGTGGTAATTTCTTGATAAAATTCATAGAATTCTTAGGAATATTATCAGGCAGACGGGAGAGGAAGCGCTAGATAAGTGTTTCACTGCCTGCTGTTTTCTCACAATGGTCAACTGTAAAGGGCTGCAGATTGTTCAAACAAAACTGTAACACCACAAGGGACTGTTCTTCAGTTTACAGGTCTTGTACAGGACAGAAAAAACAGTTCTGAAGATGTTCTCCATAGAATCTGGCCAGGTTTTCATGTGAACGGTACAAGCTTTCCTTATGCAATCGTACAGAATAGGGAATAAAGTATGACAATGTCTAATGAATAAATTACACAGGGGAAAGGGCATAGCATCTCAGCTCCAAAGAATAGAAACTTACATTTATTCATAGATTTGTACAGCATAAGAGATCACCATTCAGCCTGTCATCCATCTGCTGGCTCTTTTGAAAGAGCGACTTAGTTAGTTCCACTTCCTGACAAGTCCTGCCCTACCAATTCTCCTCTTCTAATAATTATACAACTTTATTTTGCAAGTTGCTGTTGAAACTGCTTTAACCACTCTTTGACATAATTAATTCCAGATCATCATCACGTTCATAGTTCTTACATGTTCTCAAGAAATTCCAGAATAATTTACAGACAATTAGGTGCTTTATCAACAGAACAGTAACTATGCTTTCGGGGTAGGGGAAAATGTCATTTTTTTGATAGCATTGGACAATCATTATTGGAGATGAACTCCCTCTCAGTCTTCTTCAAAATAGTGTCGTTCGATGTTTTACATCAATCCAAGTGGACAGAGCTGTGAATTGACAGCTCAACCAAAAGATGGCATCTCCAACAGTGCAGCTCTCACTCCACATGTGGAATAGTGCAGGTGGGATTATGTGCATGAGTCCTTGGAGTGGAACTTGAAACCATGACTTTAAGATTCAGGGTTGACTGAAA